ATGATCTGTGGTGTCCTCACACAGCCCTGCAGGGATAATAATCTACCTCCCTTGCACAGGTGAGGACACGGAGGCTCAGAGAGGTTGAGCCGCTAGCCCAAAGTTGCACCAGTAATAAATGGTAATAATGGGGAGCAGGAATTTGCGTTTCTTCTTCCTGACTCTGCTACACTCTTCTGGCTGCCTGCAGTAGGACCTCAGTAGCTCTGTTGTGATTGAACTAGCTTGAGAGCACCGGCTGAAGTGGAGGCAGGCCCCTGCTGTGTGGCTGGGGCATGTTATTCAACCTCTCTGGGCCTCAGTTTCCTCACCTGTAAAATGGGCACAGTGCTGACCTCTCAGGACCATGTAAGGATTGATCATGGTGCCAGCGGGATGCTTGGCACAGGGAAGGCATGTCTCAGGGTTTACCTCCCCCCCACTCTCCGTTGTGCCCCACCCCGGGGAGTGGTCACTCTCTCTCAGCTCTGTGGAATGAAGATGCTGATGGAAGAGGAGGAGGGGCCTGGGGCAGGCCTGCTGGACACAGGGGGACACGTGCATGTCCTAGAAGGGACCTGGATTAGGAAGAGGGAAGGGAACCACCTTCGCACCCAGCCCTGCCCCAGCCTGGCCTGTTGGGCCCACCTTGGGCACACAAAGGGCACTCCCGGAGCACTGGGGATGTCTGCTCAGCTCTGCTTTGCATTTGCTTGCTGTGTGCCCTTGACAAGTCACTACCCCTCTCTGAACCTTCATTCCTCCTCCATAAAATGGCATAACAACCCCGCACTCCTCAGGTGGGGTGAGGGTCAGATGGTACAGCCCGAGGATGTGCCCACACGGGGCCTGGCACATCAGTTCCCTTCTTCGCACTCATCACATGTCATTTTGGGGTGTTTCTGCCTTGCGCCCCCTCCCCACTTCATGACCATGGGCGCCTGAGGGCCGGCTGAGGTGGGCATGCCGGGCTGCTGGTGCTGGAGAATGATGGAAACTGAGCCCTTGCTGGGCAGGGAAGACCGCAGAGGGAGGAGGAAGGCGGGGGCCCAGGGTCCAGCCCCCGGAAGTCCTCCCACAGTGCTCGTTCACCCATGAAACCTTTGGCACAAGAGCGGACTTCCTCAGCCGGGGGAGGGGGAGCGCGTCAGGCAGCACGTGTCTTTGAGGAGACCGACTGGCCCGCGGGGGCCCCCATCCACAGGGGGAGGTGGGCGGATCTCCGCGCTGACCTGAGGTCTCTCGGCTTCTCCGCAGGACATCTGCGAGGACCCCCGCCTCTTTGTGGACGGCATCAGCTCCCACGACCTGCACCAGGGCCAGGTGGGAAACTGCTGGTTTGTGGCGGCCTGCTCGTCTCTGGCCTCCCGTGAGGCGCTGTGGCAGAAGGTGAGGCCTGGGTTGGACACGGGTTCTGGGGAGTCTCCCCAGATCGGGGAGGTGCAGCCTGAAAGTGCAGGGGAGACTTTATGGAAGCCTGTGTGGGGATGGGGTGGGGCGACCCCTGGGCTCCCCAGCACTGGCTGAGCATCAGAGTCGCCTTCCCCTCACCTGCCAGCTTAGGACCCCTGGGTGGGTGCTAGGAATCTGTATAATTCCCAAGGGGATTCTGATGTGTCCCCTTCCCAGCTATCAGGGGCCCATAGTGTCCCTGGAGCTGCTTGGCAGGAGACACACCTGTGAAATGTGGATGCTGCCTGACACTACTAACTGGGGCCCAGGAGACCCCTGCCAGCACCCGCTGTGTGACTTAGCCAGTGCTTGACCTTCTCTGGGCCTCAGGTTTTTCACTTGTTCAGCAGGAGTGGTCCAGGCCATCCTGTTGCATGACTCATGGTTCCAGGCGGCTGAGGCCCTGGACCAGCGCCACAGGGTTTCTCGTGGAATGGGCTCTGGTGCTGACATTTCGCCCTCTTGTGGCGGCACTCGGCATTGCAGCCTTTAAATCCGACCCTCAGAGCTCCCCTCCTGGGGAGGCAGGGAGGCTGGAGTAGAGGCTAGACTTGTGCTGTCTAAAGAATTATTGACAAGGACTGCATCCTGGTTCCTATGCCAGCAAATGCAAGTCATCTTTCTCATGTCTGCGCTTCCTGCTCTTCCTGTACGGGGCTAGCATCCTATAAGAGCACTGAGCATCTCAGTCTTACCGGCTTGATTCGAGCCCCAGCCTCACCATTCGGTAGCTATAATTAGCCTCAGGTTACTCATTGGAAAAGTCAGGACATCAGGTAGCTCCCCCTCGGGGAGTCATGAGGGCGGAACCAGCTGCTGTATTTGAAGGGCCTTGCACAGCCTGGGGCTCAGGGACGGCGGCTGCAGCCGCCTGTGTTAGGATAATTAGTATTCATAACGTAATGAGTGTTCTTGTGCAAGCAGGGTGCCAGGAGCACCGTGAGTTCGTTCTCCTCTGAGACGTCCTGCAATCATCAGAGGGAGCTCTGCCCTTGGCCGAGGCTGGGACCATGCTAGGGGCCCTGCTCTCATGTTGTCTGAACAGGAGTGTGACCTCTCAAATCCACTTGGGGTGGGCATCCCCGGGGGCCTGGCCCCTGATGGTCCTGTGGGGGTGGGGTAGCTGCATGCTCCAGGGCCCTTGCAGAGGTCACTGCTGCGGCCTGTAGACGTGGGTAGTCATGGCATGTCTGAGCTGGGAGGGCCTCGGAGAGCCACACTTGGGATCATTACATTCGTGGGCCTCACAGCCCAGAGAGAGTCGGGGCCAGGAGCTGTTCTCTGGATGTGGGGCTGTCATCCTCCTACTTCCAGGCTCCAACCCCGTTCTCTGAGCCCAGAATAAGGTGCCCCTGCCTCTGAGCCCCACCCCCAGCTACGTCAGGGCTCAGGCTCAGGCCAGACGTGGCACGTGGGAATCCTGTGGGGCTGGCCCCACGCCTCCCACCCTGCCGTTTAATTGCTGTTTATCTGTGGTCTCCCCTCTTGAGATGAGCTCCCCCGGGCAGAGCTCGTCCAACTTATGTCTTCCTGCTGAGCCCTACGGAAGCCTGGCATAGAGAAGGCTCAAGAAAGTTTCGAGAACAGAGCCCCTCCCCAAATCGTCAGATCTAGCCACTGGCCAGCAACCCCCCAGCCACCTTGCTGCCCCAAGCCTCCTGGGGCCTTCAGTGGGGCCCGAGCCAGGCCCACGTGTCCCCTCCTGGGAATGGGCTGTCTGGTCATTTGTGTGTCCTGCCCTGGGCCTGGCCCTGGGCTGTCCCCTGGTGTAGTTCCCCATCTAGCAAGTGGATGAAGGGGCCCAGGATCTGCAGGCAAGAGAGCTGTCATTGATGCTGTGTGACCATGGGCAGGCCTGTGTTTGTCTCTGGGCTGAAAGTTCTTCTTGCAGGGTTTCGGGGCATCTGGCCTGCCTGGTCTGGAGGTGTTGAGGGCTGCGAGGCTGGGTCCCCGGGGAGGCTGGGGCACAGTGGGCTGCTCTTGGCTCATTGCGCTCTGCCTTCTGCTGTGGTGAAGGCCCTGGGTCCCGGCAGGAGGCGCAAGGCCCTAGGGGGCTCATTACTGCACCTCACCTCCCGTGCTGTCCCTGCTGACTGGCCCTGTTTGTTGTCACCCCTCACTTTCTGGGCCCGTTGCTGTGCGGGGCCTCCCCTGCCCCACCCTGTTCTCTCCATGGAACTAGGGTGCTCAGCCTGAGCTGCACCCCTGCTCCCCCCTTGCTGGTCATGTGACCTTGGGCAGGTCACGTTGCTTCTCTTGGCCTGTGTGTAAACCTGACCTTTCCAGTGCCTGGGGTCATGGGGGGATTAAAGGAGCCCGTGGAAGGCAAGCCCTGGGCCTTAGGGCCCTCTGCACGCGTTAGAGCCCCTCCTGGCCCTCCTCTGGGCTCCCCGCCTCTTCCTCTGTTCTGCCAGATACCTCTTGGCAGTGGGCCTCCCCTCCTATGGGACCCTGCGGGCACCTTGTGGTCTCCCTGACTTGATTGTACCTCCCCTGCGGGCAGGGCAGTGGACTTGAGGGAGCCAGGTTTTGTGGACCAGAAATCAGGATGTGATGGTAGGTGGAGCATTTGCCATCAGGCCTGGCCTGGCCCAAGCCAGGTGAGTTCACCTCCCCAGAGCCTGGCACAGCCCTGGGCATGGGCACAGGCCACTCCCTGCCCTGAGCCACAGGCTGCTCGGGCCCAGGAGGAGTCGGCTGGGCCCCTGGCCGGAGGAGAGCAGAGTGAGCAGAGTCCCCCGAGCGCCTGGATGTCCGAGAGCCAGTGTTGGGGTGGGCAGTCCTGGGCGGGGCCTGGGGAGGCGCCTGGTGGCAGCGCCGGCTGTTTTTTACTTTAAGAGGTTTCCGGTCCGCCCTGCCCCTGTTGTGTAAGCAGTTCACGCCCTTTAGCTACACAGCAGTCCGTTCAGCACACGGTAACCATTCTAGGTACTGGGGACGGATTTGGAAAAGTCCACAGGCACGTGAGGTTTTGATTATCTGGAAACAACCAGTGTTAAGGGTTTTCTGTCTTTCCTTCTTGTGTTTTTTTCCATTTGGGGTTATAGAGGTGTTTTTTGTTTGTTTGTTTTGCTGGGGAAGATTCTCCCTGAGCTAACATCTGTGCCGGTCTTCCTTTATTTTCTATGTGGGTCACTGCCACAGCATGGTCACTGACGAGTGGTGTAAGTCCGTGCCCGGGAACCAAACCCGGGCCTCTGAAGTGGAGTGCGCTGGACTTAACTACTAGGCCTCCAGGGCTGGCCCCTAGTTTGATTCTAATACACATTTTTGCAATCACTTATGCAGGTTTCCAGCTTGCTTCTCTCCTCTCTGTTCATTCCTATGTCCAGCTTTTCGTGGGCCTTTCCAGGGCATCTGGTGGCTGAGTAGAGGCGGGTGGTCGGCAGTGGGCCCAGCCCCAACTGCAGCCTCCTGCCTCCCCGCCCTTCCCCCCCTGACCTTCCCCCCCTGACCTTCCCCCCCTGACCTTTCCCCCCTGACCTTCCCCCCCGCCCTTCCCCCCTCTGACCTTCCCCCCCTGACCTTCTCCTCTCTGACCTTCCTGGCTCTCATTGCCCCCTCCCTCCTGCCCTGTCTGTCTGGGAGGCCCAGGCCCTGGTAACAACTTCTACCTTCAGCCTCCGCTGCCCAGGCTGAGACCAGGCCCTCCCCAGGGTCATGTGGCCCCTGGGTCCCCATCAGTAGAAGCTGATCACCTCTCCCCATGTCGTGCAGGTCCAGAGCCAGGGCAGCCTTCTCTCTTCCCTCAGTGCCGCCTCCCTATATAAACCCCTACGGGAGCCTGCTGTTTGCCTCCCCCCACCGCCCCAGCCCACCTCATTGCCATCCCTGCCACCCAGGCACCAAATGCCCGACACCTCCAGTTTCCCAGCCTCCCCCACAGACCCCACTCAAGCACTGCTGTGTCCCAGGGATTACTGTGCCCGTGTGGCTGACACCCTGCCCTCATCGCCCGGCCTCGCTTCTCGATCGCATCTCCGTCAGCCGCCTCGGCCTCTTGCTCCCATGGGGGCCGTGCCTAGATCCGCCCTCCCTGCAGGTCTTCAGCTGAAGGATCAGTCTCTCGGCCTCGCCTCCTGGCATCTCCCTCCCTCCTCCACTCTGACGCACACCTGTCCCTAATCCTCCTTCTGGCCTTGGGCATTACCCGTGGACTCTCTCCCTGTCTGCCTGTCTTCCTCTTATTGGCCTTGGCCTTGGGCTCCATGGTCCATCACCTCAGCCCGTCTCTCATCGGTGTCCTTCATTCATGCATTCATTCAACAAGCCTGTTCTGAGGGCCTCCTGTGGGGCAGGCCCTGTTCTAGGCGCTGGCTTAGAGTGATGAACGAGACAGATACCGTCCCTGCCCCCTTGGGGCTTTGGGTCTAGAGCAAATGTACCAATAAAAAGCAAAAGTTAGGGCTGGGAAGGAGAGAAACACTCCTCCTTAGAAGGAAGGAGAAGCCACCCCAACAGGAACTCCTTCCCCAGCCGCCTTGCTCCCTTCTCCTCTGCCCTCCAGCTCCACAGTAAGAGGCGCTGTGAGGGCCAGGCCCTTTGACATCTCCCATTCTCTCAATACCCTTGGAGAATTGCCAGAACTTACCCCAGGCCTTGAGGTGTTGTCTAAACGGGACCAGGTGCTCTGTCCCCGTTTTTGTCCCCCTGCTGTTCGGGTAGCCCAAGATCCCACTCACTTACTTAGCCTCCATCTAGAAATTTGACTGTGCTTGTGGTCCACCAGACCCTTCAGATTGTTTCCAGTTGTTAAACTTTGGCCTGTGCCTCTGTCCTCTTTTTTGTGTGTGGCACGTCATGGCAGCTTCCCCTCTCCCCAGCTGCACTCACACACTCTAGGTCTTCCATTTGCCCGTTTGTGATAGCTGAGCTCCTGGTTCCGCCTCAGACACTGGGGATACAGATGTTTGTCGGATTCTTCCTCGGCCTCAAGTCTCCTGGGGGAAACTGAGGATCCATATGGGTGGAGTAAGTGGTGGGATTTTAGTAGGAGAGAAACCTGGTCACGTGGCCGCCATGTAGCGCAGGGCTGAGGCAGGGCCAGCAGGCAAGAATCACCTGGGTCAGAGATTCTCAGAGCACGGTCTCTGGACCAGCAGCGCCAGCATCACCCGGGAGGTTGTTAGAAATGCAGACTCTCGGGCCTCATCAGAGACCTATTACATCAGACACTCTGGGCGTGGGGCCCACCGTCTGTGTTTTAAGTCCTGCAGGTGATTCTGATGCTCACTAAAGTTTGAGAACAGGGGTCTGGGTGAGAGATGGTCGTGCCTGCGCTGGAGTCCTGGCAGCTGGGAACAGGGGAAGGGGCCTCAGGGTATCAGGGTATCTGGGAGGCAGAATCGACAGGCCTTGGCGATGGCATGTGGAGGGGTGAGGGTGAGGCTGAGTCAAGGATGGCTCCAAGGTTTGCTTGGGTGACTTCAAATCTCAAATCAGTGGCCCTGTGGTCCTTGTTCCCCCCTCCTGCCAGAGGGTCTTTCAGCCTGGGCTTAGGTGCCTCCAAGTGAGCTCTTGCTGCGGGTTCTTCACAAACAAGCCGCTCCCAGCCCATCCGTGGTAGTCAGGGCCGTTGCCACAGCAATTGACATCACGGTCTGGTCCCGGAGGAGCCTGTCACCCTCTTGCCTGCCTGCGATGCCTCCATTACAGCTTCAACTGGCAGTGGAGAGGAGGCATTTGGGGACTCCCACCCTCCTACACACCCCATTTTGAGGACTGGGTGGGGCTGAGGAGGGCCCTTGGCAAAAAAGGGAGGGAGAGGAGGGCCAAGGATAGGCGGGGCCCTCCTTGGTGGCCTCTTCCCTTGGTGGCGAGGCCCCAGCCACTCGGCTCGTGGACGGTGGTGGCAGCAGCGGCAGTGAGCCATGGCAGAGGACAAGCCGAAGCAGCTGCAGCTGGAGATGCCCCTGGTCCCCGACGAGTACCTGACCAGGCAGATGCGGCTGCGCGTGGAGAGCCTGAAGCAGCGTGGGGAGAAGCGCCAGGACGGCGAGAAGCTGCTGCGGCCGGCCGAGACCGTGTACCGCCTCGACTTCGTGCGGCAGCACAAGCTGCAGTTTGAGCGCTGGGACGTCGTGCTGGACAAGCCGGGCAAGGTCACCATCACGGGCACCTCCCAGAACTGGACGCCCGACCTCACCAACCTCATGACCCGCCAGCTGCTGGACCCCACCGCCATCTTCTGGCGCCAGGAGGACTCGGAGGCCATGGGTTGGAACGAGGCCGATGCCCTGGAGTTCGGGGAGCGCCTGTCGGAGCTGGCCAGGATCCGCAAGGTCATGTACTTCCTGATCACCTTCAGCGAGGGCCTCGAGCCCGCCGACCTCAGGGCCTCCGTGGTCTTTAACCAGCTCTGATGGTGGCTGCTCGCTGCGGCCCCTCCGCTCACCCACTTGCCCTGTCCCCTGCCGGTACCCGCTTCCCCCAGCCGTGTGTCTGGGAACATTCTTCCAGCTGCTGGCCTCTACTCAGCTTGGCGGGGACCCCCTGAGCCTCGTCCTTCCTCCTCTCCTTTCTCTGGTGCTGGCGCTCCTGCTCAGGGAGGCCGATGCTCAGGCTCTAGAGTCTAGAAGCTGCGCCAGCTACCACTGCTTTTGCTGTAGACCAGGAGGCCTGGCCAGGGCTAGTGCGGGAAGACGGAGCAGCCGTGGGTCTCTGCAGTCCCTCTGCATCATTGTCAGGAGAGCAACTGAGAGGGACCGAGAGACAGACAGACACGGACACAGAGAGCGAAATCCAAAGAACCAGCCGTCAGGCTTCTTCTGGAGATGGGGAGACAGAGACGATAGAGCAGCCTCCTTGGAGAATCCAGCAAACAGGCGTCTGCACCCTTTGCCGCCGCCCGTGTCCAGAGGTGAATGCAGCCTGAGGACCCAGGAAGGCGCCGCTCCTGGCACGGGCCTGGTGTGGTCCCTCGACACCTCGGGGACCCTCAGGACGTCGGGAGGCTACTGTGGGGTCGATTTGGGCAGTGGGGAGTGGCCGGCACGCTGGAGGCTGTGCAGGGCAACTCTTTCTCTTCTGGGGATGACTTCAGGACGGGAGAAGTGAAGGGGAGAGTATGAAAAAGTCACGTAGAGATCTATCTATCCACAGACATCAATATTGAGAGAGCATGCTATATTCACATGGATATATGCTAGAGTCTATACCCGCCCTGCGAACAAGTCTGATTGTAGGTTATCTATTATATAATTGTCCAGCCGGTTCTCGGGTGGCCCTTAGCAGAGGCTTGGTCAAAATGACATTGGGGAGGGGGCCTTCCTGAGCTGGGAGACTTTGAGGTTCCCACAGTGAAGCGGGGAACAGTGTGGTGCAGGGGTTTCCCTCTGTCTGGGGAGCTGGATAGAGGGATCCGGAGCCCTGGCGTCTTTAGTGGATCAAGGGACAGGTTGGGGGCAGGCTGATAGGGCAGTTATGATGGCTGAGGGTCAGAAGTGGGCTGCAAGTGACAGTGGGGTGTGACAGTGGGACAGTGGCCTCAGGTCATTGGGTGCAACCCACTCACCAAACAGACGGCAACGGAGGCCTGATCGTCAGCAGATTCAGTGCCGGCCCCCAAGCCTCATTCCTACTCACGCTGCACAGGCCCAGTGACCTCTTCTTTGAGGGAGGAGTCTGCCTGGCCTGGCATCAGCCAAAGGCCCCTCAGGACGTGCCCCCGACACCCTGTCTCAAGGCCAGCCCTGTTTTTTGTCAGGAACGTGCCCGTGACGTTTGCCTCACGAAGCCGAGCCGTCGGGGGGCCGCAGGGCCCTGGGAACAGATGCACTGAGAGACAGAGGGTGCGAGTCATCTGTAATTGCCAGGGCTGCCGGGAGGGGGAGCCCCACTCCAGAGGCCTGGAGGCCTGCCAGTGGGAGGGGGGTGTTGAGTCGGGGGTCTTTGGCTGGGAGATAGACTGTGGTGTGAGCTGTGGTCCTTTCTAGTTCCTGGCTCTGGGCTGTCCCCTGCGTGCTGGAAGAGGTCCCGGCATGGCCTGCCTGGCTTCTCCGCTCGCTGTGGGGGGGAGGCCAGACCCCTGGGGGTGGCCCTGCCTTTCTGCCTTTTTGCTTGACCTCTCCCTGCAGCTCTGGGAGCAGACTGCCTGTACCCAACCCTCTCCCACCACATCTGCCCCATGTGGGCATGTGAGTGCCTCTGCTGTGCCCACAGTGTGTCCTCAATAAAGCCTGTGTCCCCGCCTCGGTGGTGTGCAGTCTTTCACCGCATGCCACCCCCTCCCGTTCCAGGAGACAGGAGATCTTATCACCACCCTGAGCATACCCTCCCCTGCCCCTCCCACACTCCTGACCCCTCCTCCCGCCACTTCCAGGGACAAGGCCCAGAGCAGTCAGGTGACTGGCCCAGCGTCAGACCTCAGGATGGAGTTTAGAACCAAGACACCCAACCAGGAGCCAATGCCCCCAACAGTTTCTCTCCAGTGGCCCGCAGCCCGGCCTCTGTCGGGATGTGGAGAGAGCCATGCTGAGTCTACAGGGAGGCGCCATCACCATCTGGTCCTTGGCAAGCGAGGCCTGGAGGGCCTGGGTGGGGACACACCATGCCATGCTCAATTTTGAGACTCCCTCCTTTGCAGGGTGGCCGGCACGGGGTAGACGGGGCAGGGGCATGGCAGGGGTGGGCTGGGGTCAGGCCTGTGCCCAGGTTTAGTCCAGACTCTGTTGTCGCCAATTTGCTGCATGTCCTCGGGCAGCCCCTGACGCTGTCCCAGACTCCGACTTTCTAGAGGGAACAGCTGGTTCTGTGAAGTCCCTCCAGCTCTGCCCCACTGACCACATCACCTCAGGGCCCCGCCCGACCTTTTTCAGGGCTCGGGCCCTTGCCTCTCTCTCAGGCTCACCCATTTTTTGGACAGAGACAACCGAGGCCCAGAGGAGAAGGCCACCTGCCCAAGGTCATAGAGGCCAGGGAGGGGCCAGAGGAGGGGTGTGAGTGGACCATGCTCTGCGTCTGTGGACCTCTGACCCTGTGACGCTGGCCCCCTGGGATGGGCAGGGGCCATGCGCCCACCACACCTGAGGGCCAGACCCGGGTGAGGCCAACTTCTTCCTGGAGACCAAGGTCAGCCCCTGCTTCAGAGGCCACACTTGGCCACACTTTGCTTCAAAATGCTCCCCAGGTCTCACACCCCCTCCTCCTCCACCCCAGAGCCACCTCGCTTCCCTTCCCCAGCCCTGCCCCCACCTCCACCTCTTAGGGCTCTCTGCTTCCAGACATAGCCCTCCCCAAGCCCTGCCCTTCCAGCCATGGCCTCTGCCACTCCTGAAGACTCCTCTGGGAGGGGTGGGGCAAGTGGAGATGAGCCACCCGGCCCTTCCCTCCCCCTTCCCAGGCTCTGTGCTGAGACTGAGACTGGTCCTGAGGGAGTGCCGGGAGTGGGAAATGAGGAGCCATCTTGCACGGAAACCACCAGAAACCTTGGAGCAAAGAGACCTGCCAGATTCCACGGAGACAGTGCGGCATAGGGACCTGTCCCGGCTCTGCCACCGGCCACCTGTGTGACCCTGGGCAACCTCTCTGAGCCTGTTACCTCATCTGTTGGGGGTGCTAATAATGGTGCCTCCCTCCTAGGGTCATTGTGAAGGGTAAATGGGTCAGTGTTCGTAAAGCATCCGAGCTTCAGGACTGGAATGTGGGCACTGTCTCTCGGTTTGCTCACTGTTATTTTCTCGTCACTGTAGACACATGGTCTCACTTTTCAGTTATTCTGAAAAGAGGGCAGTAGGAGAACCTGTTTACCTAGGAGGAGCGCACGGTTCAGAGAGGTGCCTTGAACTGCCTGAGGCAGCACAGCAGCCCAATGCTCATGGCAGCAGGTGGAGTGAGGTGGAGGGACTGGCAGGGACTGGGACCAGGCCTGGCTCTGTAGTTGCAGAGAGCGGACACGGGGGAATGGATTCTCCTCTGCCACTGTCACCAGGCCCACAATGGCCCATCTGAGGGGACCTGTAGCCCTCACAGTGTAGCTGGGGAGCCCAGCGGGAGGGGGCCTGCCCCAAGGCTGGGGTCCCCGCCCAGGTCTCTGAGCCTCTGGCTGTGCTCACGCCCTGCCCTGTGAGCAGGAGGCCCTGGGGCCCCTGCAGGTGCGTCAGCGTCCTGCTCTCTGGGAGGCGAGCCGGGGGCTCTGCTCTCCTGAGGTGGCAGGTGGGGGCGCCCCATCTTCCTGGTCCCTTCCGGTCATGGCATCTGAAACTCAGGAATTTGCACCTCTTGGGGTCAGAAGCTGAGAACTTCAGCTTCAGAAGCTTCAGATGCTCAGGACCAGGGACCCTGTAATTTTGAGGACTCAGAGGCCTGTGGCTCTCCTCCCCTGCCGTGGGTGACACGGGAAACCCCACTGTGACCCCTCATCCTGAGGCCTGGCCAGCCTCATCAGAAATGCTCCGCGCTGGCCCTCGGGGGTCCCAGGCAGAAATCTTTGAAAAGCTCCTTCCCTGGGCCAGGCCTGCACGCACACTCACACATACACTGACAGTCACACACTTGCACACTCACGTGCACACCCCAATCACACATGCATCCCGAGCAGTGCTGCACCCCCCACCCCGGGCTCTTGACCCTCCCAGCCTCTCCTCTTCTCTCTGTCACATGCCTGGGCAGGGGTCCCAGGAGGATTTGAGCCCAGCCTCTTGGGTCTAGGTGGGACCCCCCCCCCCCTCCACCCACCCAGGGAAAACCCCGGGAGCACCAGGGGATGCTGTGGTGCCTGCATCAGTGGGACCCTGGGGTTTCTGTGCCAATTCTTCAGCGGCCGGCTGTTCACGGCTCCCCTGGGTGTGAGGGGTCTCTAGCCCCATGCGGTCCTGTCTCACTGCCTGGTCAGCCCAAGCAGGTGCCTCAGCCCCTCAGGCCTCGCTTTCCCACCCGCACGGGCGCTGTTGTTGAGGTCCTTCTCTTCTGGAGAGGGGGCTTGACCAGGTCACCTCCGCTCCCTCCCAGCCCCTAGGTTTGTGGCCCGTTGTGTGAGTGTGCACACTTGTACTCCAGACACCAGCAGGGATGGCCCCTCATGGGTGCACTGCCCTCCAAGTTTACGCAGCCCTGCCAGGCCATTAGTGACCTTGTTTCCCACAACAGTCCCGGGGGTGGGGTAGGTCGACGCAGACGCGGGGCTGAGAGAGGTGACCCAGTCAAATCCAAGTCCTTGCCCCACCCTGCAGTCAAGAATGTGGTGTCTGGTAGTGGGGACGGCGTCACCAGCTGGGGCCTCGCTGCGGCCCATGCTCGGGGATTTTCCTCCCAGAAAGACTCGACCAGCTGGGCTGTGGAGCTTGGTCAGGCCCCGTGCTGGGTGCCGGGGGTTGGGGCGTGAGCATGGCTGTGCCCTGCCTTTGAGGGGCTCCCGCTGTGGTTGGGGAGAGAGCCTGGGGAGCGGCTGCCCAACAGTGCCCGAGGGGACGCGAGGTCAGGAGGCCCCTGCAGGCCACTGCTCAGCTGGCTCCTGAAGGACAGGGACCACAGTGCCACCCGTGGGAGCCACACATGCCTAGCAGAGGCGGCCTGGAGCATCACGGGGTGTCAATGTCCTGGGGGCCTGGGGGAGGCGGTGTTCAGGGGTGAAGCTGAGAGAGTCGGCAGAGCTGGTCTGCAGGGCTCCAAGTGCCAGGCCGGGGAGCTAGTGTCCTGGTGATGGGGCCTTTGAACTGGAGACAGCATGAGGGGGGAGAGCCGGCCTGACGGGCTCGCTGTACCCGTCCCTCTATAGCTGTCAACTCGTGGCCCATCTCCTTTCCCCTCCACCCCCACTTCCCCCAGGCAGCGTATCATTTCATCCATAGATATTTCTGGATGCATCTCTGGATGATAAGGACATGTTAAAAACAAAACAGAACAACAACAAAAACATAACCATAATAGCATAACACAACTAAAATAATTTTACAATTATTTCTTAATATCATCAAATAGCCAGTAAATGTTCTGGGTTCCAAATTGTGCCATACATGTGTGTGTGTGTGTGTTTGCTGGAACCAGATCCAAACAAAGGTCCATACTGCAATTGGTTGGTCCCCTTCATCTTTTCATTTTTTTCCTTGCAATTTATTTGCTAAAGAAACCAGCCGTCCTGTGGCGTTTCTATCTGGATTTTGCTGGCTGCCTTTTCCTGGTGCCTCCGAACACGAGCTCCTTCCCCTGCATCTCCTGTCAGCTAGGACTCACTTCTGGAAGCTTGATAAGGTTCAGGTACAAATTTTTGTCGTGACTGCTTCATAGGAGACACTGTGTACTTCTCTCCGGAGGCACATGGTGTCTGGTTGTCTCTCTTTTTTTGAGATGTTAGAAGCCACTGATGATCCTAAGCTGTGAAGGTTAGAAGCCACGATTGCCTAAATCCATGATTTGTCAGTGGTTGCAAAATAGTAGGAACCTCATATTCTAATTTCTTAGCTGGAATTCATCTCCAGATACGAAGCTCTGTTCGTCTGCTATTGGTTAACCTCTGGTGCAGTTTGTATAGAAAAGGCAGGATAAATCCTCGGTTCTTTCCCTTAATTTTCCATTTTCAAAAAAATGAGTTGAGGGGCCGGCCCCATGGAGTAGTGGTTAAGTTTGGTGCAGTGCACTCCGTTCCAGTGGCCCAGGTTCACAGGCTCGAATCTCGGGCACAGACCTATACCACTTGTCAGCCATGCTGTGGCAGCAACCCACATACAAAGTAGAGGAAGACTGGCACTGGTGTTAGTTCAGGGCTAATCTTCCTCAAGCAAAAGAAAAAAAAATGGAGGAAGATTGGCAACAGATGTTAGTTCAGAGCTAGTCTTCCTCAGCAAAAAAGAAAGAGTTGATTTCCTGCCATCCTCCAAGAGTGACTAATTATTTGTTTGTGTAAGTATCATTGTGACCTCATGGATGTAATATATTTGATGTGTTTTCATCCATCATAGTTTTTTTAGCCAGTGGGAGCCTCTTCGGATTTGTTCCTGAATCTCTTGACGTGGTCCTGGGGGTCTTTGGTCCCTTCCTTGATTTCGGGCGTGAACAGATGTGGTGTGGAAGGGTTTTTAGTTTATGTGCTATGTGGACACACCTTCCTGGACAGTCTCCTTCTCGCAGGGAACCCCAGCCGGCAGCAGAGGGGCAGAGGGCTGAGAGGGCTGGTCTGGGTCCACCCCATGCCAGGTCCAATGGCTGTGATGCAGGAGGGGAAATTGAGGCCCACGGGAATCCCTGACTCTGGGTCTCGAGGTCCTGGAGCCTCCTTAGCTGCTTCTTGAGCCACAGCAGGCTAAGAGCCGAGGCCTGGGTTTGGCTGGTGATGCTCCCGTGGTCTCAGCGAGGGCTCCCTCCTCCGCCCCGTGCAGTCCAGAGCTTTCAGAGCAGGGAGCAGTCGGGGAGGGTGCAGTGGCCTGGCCGTGTTCTCAGCTTCCGACTCCCCATCGCTCTGCGTGCTTGGGTAGCTCCTTGCTCCTCCCTGGACCCCAGCCTTCCCATCTTTGCAGGAGCGATGGTAGCCCCACCCTGCACGTGCCCCGTTTTGATACAGCTTTCTGTCCTGCAAGCAACATGGGAGAGAGTGTGGGGGTCAGGGCCGAGGCCGGCCTGGGGGTTTTTACTTAGAAAGGATGGAGTTGACCGAAAAGGGACCAGCCAACATCAGGCCCTTGCTGGGTTCCAGACCCTGTGCAAGGCTCCAAAGCCCTGAGTTTGAATCCTGCCTCCCTCACCCATGCCTGGGTGGCCTTCAGCAATGAGGATGAGGGGTGAGGAAACAGCCAGCCAGCGGGCCGCGCCCACACCCTGCGGGGCTCCATTAGTGGCCTCAGCGCCTCTCCCTGAAATGCTTTGCATTTTCATTTTCTTGGTCTCCAGTGTCCCCCCAGGGAGCATTTCTCTTTACCAGCATCCCCGTTGCTGGTTGACGGTAAGAGGCGTGTAAACAACAGCATCCTTAATGGCTGTGGGGGTTGGGGAGCGGCCTGGGCCTGACATCTCTGCCCAGGCCCGTCTGGGCCTCTGGATTCACAGCCTCCTCATGCATCTCTGGACGGCCACCCCTGCGCCCGAGGGTGGTTTTCTTCTAGAAGCAGCTGGTGTCAGGGGGATTTGGTCCAGTGCCCAGCAGGGCCAGCAGGTCCCCTCCCTCACTAGATGAGGGCTTTTCCCTCCCTGCCCACCTCCTGCTGCCCCCATGCCACTGTTTGTCCTCATCCACTTGGGGGATGCCCTCTGCCAGCTCTCAGGGCGCCTGCTCAGAAGCTGTGCTGGCCCTCCGGGGTCGGGCCCACCACTCCCTTCTCCCCACGCCCCCACATGCACCCCATGTCAGCCTCGCACTTGCCTGCGTGCCTCCACCAGGCTGGGAGCCTCCCGAGGGCAGGCACTGTGTCTGGTTCATTTGGTTCCTCGTTGCCAGCGTGGGGCTGTGCACAGAGCTGTCAGCACTGATAAAGAATGTGTGTGTTTTCTCACCATGTGACCCTGGACAAGTTTCTTGCCCTCTCTGAGCCTCGGTTTTCTCATCTGTAAAGTGGAGATGGATAGTAGTAATCTACTCATGGGGTTTTTGCACAAATTTAACCGAGATAACCCGTGGTGGTCACAGGCTGGGTACCTGACATTTCCAAGATGCTCCATAAACAAGCAGTATCGTTAGAGTTCCAAGCGGTGCCTATGAACGTAAGCATTCGGTTAACCCCTGTTTATCAAGCACCCTCTGGGCCAGGCCTGGGCTACGTGCTGGGTAGATAACAGTGACCAAGACTGATGTGTCTCTGCCCTCAGAGAGCTGACGCACCAGTGAGAGTGTCAGAACTGAACACAACATCACACACTCGTTTAATTAAAACTGGGCGAAGTGTCTCAGAGAAGTTCCGGGGGCCACAATGGACAGGGGTTCTGGCCTAGTCTGAAGAGTCAGGGAGGGCTTCCTGGAGGAAGCGGAGGATGGATCCTAAAGGACAAGTGAGAGTCAGCTAGAGGAAGAGCTGGAGGAGGGGGCAGGGGTGGGGGGTGGGTAGAGAGCCTGGGAGGTGGGGGTGGGGGGCAGAGCACATTGGTGCTGGACCTCATTTTCCGGGGAAGTGACTGGATCAGAAAGATCACTCTGCTGCTGTGGCAGGTGAGGGCAGATGTGACCCCTGATGCTGTTACAGTGTGCAGGGGCTACGAGAGGGGGACTGGGCCTGGGCGGTGTCAGGCGGATGGAGAGGAGACAGATTTCAGCAGAATGTAGGAGCTTGGATCGACCTCATTGGTTGGAGAGAGGGAAAGCGAGGAGGCCAGCGTGGCCCAGCTTCGGGCTCGGGCTGGACTGGGTGGCCGGTGGCACCATTCACCAGGTGGAACTGGGATGGATATGGCAGATTTCTAAGTGGGGAGGATGCAGATAGAGGCACGAGGAAGGGAGGAGGAAGCTCACAGAAGCAGAATGACAGAGCTGGAAGGAGCCGAAGGGAGTCTCCAACCACTGCAGAGATGGGGAAACTGAGGCCCAGAGATGAGAAGGGTTCGCCCACGTCCCACCTTGGTTCGTGGCAGAGATAGGGATTGACCCGATATTCTTTTCCATTTGGATCCCCTGGAGGCAGGCACCTTCATGTCCTCAGGAAGCCCGCTGTGCCCCTCACTGTGTTCCCATCCTGTTCCCCCACCCCAGGTCATCCCGGACTGGAAGGAGCAGGAGTGGGACCCCAAGAAGCCTGACGCCTATGCGGGCATCTTCCACTTCCACTTCTGGCGCTTTGGGGAGTGGGTGGACGTGGTCATCGATGACCGGCTGCCCACGGTCAACAACCAGCTCATCTACTGCCACTCCAGCTCCCGCAATGAGTTCTGGTGTGCCCTGGTGGAGAAGGCCTATGCCAAGTAGGTGCCAGCAGTGGGCAGGCGGGCGGATGGCCAGGCTGGGGCGACAGTCCTGATGGGCTCTGCATGGGTGTTCCTCCAGCCAGGGCTCCAGGCACAGAGACATGAGGGGCTGGTGTAAAGTCACAGAGCAGGCTGAGAGCCTGGGCACCCAGAGCTGAGCCTGTGCTGGGTGGGGTGGAGGCCTGGACTGAAGGTCCTCTGGTATGTGGTGTCAAGTCCCCACGACCAACCCACACGTGGAGGAATAATTACTCTCACTTCCACCGGAGGAGACTGAGGCCACAGCAGGTGTCCTGCAGGTGGCTGGGGACAGAGCCTGCGCTCACATTCAGGTCGGTGGTTCTTTCCCAAAGATCCAAGCTGCCCAGCCCTCCCCAGGGGTCTTGCTGGGGCTGTGGCGGCTCTGAGTCTGGGCTGGCTGTACAGGGTGGACCAATTGACCTCCTTCCCTGCTCGCTGGGCTTCCCTCCTCCACCTGTCCATCTGTCTGCCTGCCTGACTGTCCGTCCATTCTGTCTTTGCTGACCCTCCTCCTGCTCTGTGCCAGGCCCTGGGTCCCCAGCACGTGCACCAGCAGAGGTTTGCTGAACTGTGGAGGGCTTTGGAGCAGAGTGACCAGCCCAGACCCCTGCAGGACAGGGCCGGCCTGGGGCAGGAGGGCCAGCGGGCTCAGAGACCAGCCCCGCCAGCTCTGGGGGAGCCTCTCCTGGTTCCTCCTCCCAGGCCCATTTGTGAGTCTCCTTAGATGATGTGTGTCTGTGTCCGTGTCCGTGTGTGTGTTTGTGTGTGTGTGTGTGTGTGTGTGAAAGGAAAAGGAAAAACAGAAACTCCCAACATCAAAAACAAACCCAAGAAAACACAATGGTTGACAGATTCCGTTTTTAATCCTAAAAAAGCAAAACCTGCCCCCTGGTGGTCACTGAGTCTCCGTGGTCCGTGGTGCAGGCCCCTCGCCTCCCACTTCCAGGAGAGCCCCCAGGGGGCTTGCTCGGGTTTTTTGTTTTTATAATAGTTTTATTATATTTTTTACTGTGGTAAAGTATTTATCAGTTTGACTGTGTATAAATGTACGATTCCGTGGCATGAGTTGCATTCACAGTGCTGTGTACCCATCACCACTGTCTATACCCAAAACTTTGTCATCACCCCCAACGTAAACTCGGTACCCGCTAAACAGTAGCTCCCGCTTCCCCGCTCCCTCAGCCCCTGGGGACCTCTCTTGTGCTTTCTGTCTCTGTGGATTGGCCTATTCCAGGGAGCTCATGTGAGTGGAATCACGCAGTGTTTGTCCTTCTGTGTCTGGCTTGTTTCGGTTAGCAGAAGGTTTTCAAGGTCCGTCCAGGTGTAGCTGGTGTCAAAATTTCATTCCTCCTTGTGGCTGAATCGTATTCCGTTGCGTGTCTGTGCCGCACTCTGTTTATCCAGTCCTCCGTCCATGGGCACTTGGGTTGCTCCCCCGCGTGGCTGTTGTGGATAACGCCGCTGTGAACGTCGGTGTTTGAGGCTCTGCCTTCAGGTCTTTGGATATGTACCTAGGAGTGAATCGCTGGGTCTTATGGTGGTTCTATGTTTAAATTTTTGAGTAACCACCAAACTGTTTTCCACAGTGGCTGCACCGTTTATACTTGCTTGTTTTTTCGTTTATTTACTTTTTAAATTATAAAACGAATGCACGTCTGTTGTAGCAAATCCAGAAAGTATAGAAAAGGGGCCCGTCTGTTCAGGACCTG